CCGTTCCCCCACTGCATGTATTGCATTTATCTTCCACTGCATTGAAATCCGCCCTTTTTGTATTATTTTGAGCTCTTTGTTCTCGATTGTTAATTCTGTTTTTTTCAAACATGCTTTAGTGATATGCCCTTTCTTCCTACAGCAATTACATACTGCTTCTTTAAATTGCCGTTCCACATCCGTGTAATAGCCAGCTCTAAGGCTCGTTGAAAAGTAAGGTTAAATTCCGAAATCATTTTTTTTGGTACCCTTCGTCAGCTTTTCCACATAAATTCGATATCTCTCAACATTTTATTCAGTTCATTTTATTTATAAAATTGCAATACTTACTCAATTTCCGAAGATCTGCAACAAAATCCGCTATCGATTCACTTCCTTCTGCACTCTTTTGTTAAAGTTAAATCTTTCCACTATTTCATTCGGTGTTGGGTTGAAAAGTCCTTGTAGATTATTGACAATTGTGTATGTATGAATTCCTTTGGTGTTTGCGGTGTCACCAGTGAACGCAAGATTTCGTACGCCGCCTCGTCGAATTGTGCCAATAGCATAGTCCGTTTTTTGTTTTCGTCTGTCACATTATTTGCTTTGAAAAAAACAACTGAAGCCTCTCTTGGTAATTGGACCACAACGCATTAATGTCGAAAGGTCCCACATGCCCTATTGTTTGAACGTAATTATGTATTGGCACTTGGTTCGCTGCTTCATTTGCCATGGCCGTATTTCTTGAGGTTGTATTACTTGGTTGCACACTTTTACATTTCTAGAAACGTTCCTACTATCTTAAATAAAACATAAAATGCCAATTTCTTTTCAAAATCGGTAATGTAATCAAATTTTTACTATAATTTTGAGAATTAAAGCAACATAAAGAAAATCGTTTTTATTTATAAATTGTAGAAATTATTCAATATCAATGAGAAATAATTCAATATGAGAAAATCATTATTAAACTGCTTAAAAACTCATTTATTCAATCACGTGCCAGCAATGCAGTTACAACGAGATGCAGCTACTTATGTGATTTTGAAAGATAATTCTTAGTGTATACAAGAAATTGCAAATTTGACTATAGAATTATTATATGAATTATGACATGTGCTTTTTGTTTTAGAATTTCCCGTTCATTTTTTCACTTGTGTAATTAACATAATATTCAGTATTAACTTGGACTTTATCTTTTATTTTAACTCGTGTTGTATTGTTACAAAATCTTTATCAAAAATGTTAATAACCTGATGGTATTTTACGCTGCCGTAATAGAATACGGTTGCACGTGGTTAGCTTTCGTACTGAGCTCTGAAGATGAATACAAAAAATGTGTTCCACACCTGCATTTTAACTCTTTGACTGTATGGGTAAACTATTGTGAACAGAAACATCTCTAAATAGGTTTTTTATTTCATTTTGGCCAGATTTTCGAGATCGTGAATCACTGTGCCCGCACTGTCTTGTTCGCATTGATGATGCCTTCTCAAAATTCGAAGCACATCTGAAAAATCGGGTTGTTGGTCGGATAGTGTGTAGCCCAGAGTCCAATTTCGTTGCCCGACTGTCGGTCCGACAAATTGGCCCGTCTGTAGAGGCCTTTGAAAATGAAAAAAAAAAAAATCGTAAATTGTTGATTGTGTCGTCAAATATGGATTAATTAATTTACGCAATAAACAATACACCATGACCAACATTATCCAACTTTCATCTTAGTACATTGTTTCTTTTCTCATTTCTAAACTGTCGCATTTCTCGTAGATATGAATATCGGCACAATATTATATCATTTCTATCATTACTCTCTTTTTTCTCGCTTTTCAATTCTAATCCCATTTCTATCAATAAGCGATAAAATGTAGAATATTTGATATTTGGTAAATGTTTATCATTAACATTTTCATTATACACGTTTGTTGCAGGAACATTTCAAAATAGAAACGCATGGAATGTGAGATGGACCGTATGTACAAAATCGTTTTCCTATTGATTCTATTTTTCAGTCCTGTTAATTTTATTTTTCTTGAGGTTATTTTTTCATTCGCATTTTCCTTTTTTTATTCTAAAGAAGGAATGTCTGCTGATGCCAGTTGCTCTGCAAAATTTGTTTTTTTGGGGGTGTTTCTTTTAAGTTTTCGAATACTTTTAAATTTTTTATCACTTTTAATTTTTTTTACCATTTTTACAGTGATCTATTTTAATCACTTAAAATTGACACACTATCCGATTGACTAAATTAAGTACCTTCTTTTCTTTACCACTGCAATCCACCTTCTTCACTCACTTCCACCAGCAAAATTAGAGGACCACTATACCCAGCAAAATGAAATTATCGAAAGGGCTTCTGGTGATCATTCTAGTTTTGATTTGAATAGTCCCTCCAGCTGATGACGTAAAAACAGTTCCGTTCAGCTCTACAGGTCACACATCCTGCAGCCGTGCCTTGTTTCTTCATCGCGTCTCCCGTCGTCGTGGTCGTCGTCGTGGTCGTCGTCGTCGTCGTCGTCGTCGTCGTCGTCGTCGTCGTCGTCGTCGTCGTACATCGCGCGCTGCTCGTCTTCAAAAAACACACACACACACACCCAACACTCAGGAGTAATGTGCATCCGAAGACATTCGGGTGATATTAGAAAATAATTTCATTTTACCCAAAACTTTGTCCTTGAAAATTTTTAATTGGACTTAATGAACGAAATTTTCCCGAAAATTGCGTTTTTTCGGGGCAGAAAAACTTATTGCCGGGCTCCAGTAAGGAAAAAGTTAATAAATCCCTTTCCCGTATGTAGTAAATTACTTCCTGTAACACTTTGTGTAGTCAGTATCCATAGTTTATGGATTCTTGATGTCGAAAAGGGATTTACAGCAAAACGTCAGTCTGCCCTGCCGTCTGAGATCAACGCTAGAGCCTAAAACGTTCAGACGGTTGCCTCAAAAATTGTTATTCCCGGATCGATGGGAAGAAACTCGAAGCCTTCCGAGTTTGCAAAGGATTTTTTGACTTTGGGGGATACCTGAAGGCTCAACATTTTCAAAAAAATTTACCAAAATGGCACAAATGTTTATGAATAAACTTTGTATTCGGATAGCGAATAGAATGCTTAACAAACAGCTCAGGTCTCATTTTCGTTGAAATATTTGTTGTTTCGAAAATTACCGAAATTATAATATTTTTGGCGTCGTCTTACAATTACATTATTGAATACAGAATTACCTCCTCACTGAATTAAATCTCTTGTTCAAAGACGTCTTGGAATGAGGAATGGACACTTTTTCGAAAATGTAAGTAATTTTCGTGTAACAATTTTGCGTGAAATAAAGGAAATTTTTAAACTTTGTAGCAAAGGGCGGCAAAAATGGTGGTGGGCTCCTTTTCGGCGAACTCTGTTTTACAAAATTTTCAAAAAATTGCGTAGCAAAAATATAATATTGATAGGGATTTTTTTTTGGTGAAAAACTATTCTGAAAAAAAAATTCTTTAAAAAAGGTCAGGTACATCTTTTTGACCTCTTTTTAATGAAACAAGTGATTTTTGCGTAATCTCAAAACTGTCCCAATTTTTTTCTTTAAATTTCTTTCACGGATAGAGCAAACGATGCGAAAAATAACGGTGCAGGTCTCATTTTCGTTGAACTCTGAATTTTTGAAAAGGGTAAAAGTTTGAAATAATGTGAGAAAGTACGTGTGTGTTTATGTAGTTGTGTTTGGGAACCCACTCAGTCTAGCAGAAGTATTTTCAGAGAAATTAATTCAGTGCTTCCACAAATCCTCTTTTAATACCCATCATTTACAAATGCTGTGCACGGGCGTTGACAAAAATTTGAGAACTAGAAATGTTCGCTCCCGTGTGAAAGAAACTATTTTGCTTCGAAAAGCGAACTACAGATTGAATGCAATAGTCCTGTCGTCGAAATAACCAAACCCCACACTCCTTTCGCATCTAACGAAATGCAGGCTCATGAAAATATCTGTGGATACTAATAAAGCCTCAAAGTTTTACAAAATTGGCCCGACATGTTTTTTTAAACTCTTTTGGATAGCGTAAAGGACGCATAAAATAGATCTAATTTTCGTTGAAGACCCTGATTTCCAAAAATGGCAAAAGTTCATAATTTTTCGGCGTCTTCATTTTGTAAATTATGAATGATCAAATTCAATATTATAGTTGTATGAAGCTATAACTACATAATTGAAAACAAGTGTTTACTTTCTTCAAATATGGTCATGTACAATTTTTCGGAAACGTAAGTAATTATTGCGTAATTTTGCGTGAAATATAAGTAATTTTAAAACATTTTATTTTTAATAATCTGCTTCGAAATTTTTCTGTAAATTCTTACCTCGCAAGGGATAGTAAAAAATGGAGCTCGTTCCATTTTCGGAAAGTTGCAAAATAAATAATGTTGCAAAAATACAATATTTATTATAGAGATTTTTTCTTCAACAAAATCCTAAAAACTCCTATCTGTAAAAAAGGTCATGAACAATTTTTTGAAAACAATAGTTTTCATGTAATTTCTGCTTGAAGTTTGTTTGTTGTTGTTTTTGTTTTATTATTATTATTATTATTATTATTATTATTATTATTATTATTATTATTATTATTATTATGATAAAAGTTCCTAATTATCTCTCATTGATGGTGAAGTCCTCAGTTTTGTTGAGTTCTGAATTTTAGTAAATTTGCAAAATTTATAAATAATATGAGAAAGTATGTGCTGTTAAAGCTTCACTAGTTTTTATTAACCATTATCATTAGCAGTTATGTGTGTGCTGTAATATCAAATAGAAATGTGTGAATGTTTATGATCAAATGAGTGTAATGATGGTAAAAGTAAACCTTCTGTTGTTCATATTGTTCAAATTATTCTAAGTTACCAGTGGCATTCATCTTGTTTGTATAGAGTGATTCTTGTTTTGTTCAACACAAGTGATAAAAAGAAATTCCAGTTATAGTATTAAGAGATCATGGATTCCCCCCCCCCCGTACTAATGATTAACATGTTCTTTAATAACAGGCACTCCAGAGTTCATGGCCCCTGAGATGTATGAAGAGCACTACGATGAAAGTGTAGATGTTTATGCATTTGGAATGTGTATGCTGGAAATGGCCACTTCAGAATATCCATACTCTGAATGCAGTGGCCCTGCTCAAATATATAAAAAAGTTGTTAGTGTAAGTAAACATTTTGTGAAAATCATTATTTCTATGCAATGTGCAAATACCAGCAATAAAGATGTGAATTTATTGGTTATTTACAGACAGTAGTTACCAAGTCATTGGAAATAAATTTTAAAATTACTTGTCATTTTACAATACAAAATATGATGAACTAATGAGAACATTTTTCTATGTTCCTTTTTTTGTGATGATGAAATTGTTGTATCCAATTGTGATCAGGTGAAACTTGCTCAATGATTGTAATAACGGAAGTCATAAAATTATTGGAATTGTAATGATAATAATAAAAGTAGATAGTATTGTAATTCTCCATAATTGTAACTTCTGTGTTAGTTTACTTCTGAAATTAGTGTTCATGATTACAGAATTACTGACATTCATCACATACATGCTACATTTTTGATTTCTCTGTTTTAGAAACATAAATTTGCTAAATTCTTTTTCATGCAACATGAACGAGACTATCACTTATTTTGATCTAATGTTCTGTTTTGCATTGCAACTCCATTATAGGTAAATTTCTTTGAAGTAGATATTGTGTTGGTATTGTTGAGTATGAATTTTATTCAAATACTTGCTTATTTTATTGAAGTGAATTACTTAAATTTAATAGAAGATTTATTTTTATGATTTAATTTTATTGGCAGGGCATCAAACCACAGAGTTATGATAAAGTGGAAAATGTGGAAATTCGGGATATAATTGAATGTTGTATTCGACCAAGGAAAGAAGACAGGTATGATTTATTATAGAAAAAACATGAATGATAATCAGTATTATTAATTTTTTTATTTTTAATTTTATTAAAATTAATTGCAGGCCGGAAGTTAAAGACCTTGTTGTGCACGAGTTTTTTGCCGAGGATCTTGGCTTACGCTTGGAATTAGTGTCAAGGGAGGAGGCAATATCATCACTCTCAAGTAAAGTGGAATTTCGTTTAAGAGTTTTGGATCCTAAGAAGCGAAGTAATAAACACAAGGAAAATGAAGCAATTCAGTTTGAATTTGATATACTGACTGATAATGCAGAGGAAGTTGCAAGTGAAATGGTAATGTATTCATTCTTATTAGTTCAGCCCTTTTGCTCTTACAAATTATTTCTGTTGTATTTCAGCATGATATATAAAAGTAATGTATTATTGGTAGTACTGATGAATGCAGTTATTTCTCCAGTTATCAATTATTCTTAATTATCTCAGTTATTCTCAATTATATCAGTATATCTGTTATTTTCAATTATCCTATAGTCTCAAAACGAGCCTTCTGCCCACCCATTGCAGCTCTTTGTAAATTGCGCACTCAAAGCATTCTCTTCTCCACCTGGCAGAATAGAGGATAAGAATAATTGATTTTTTCTTCTTTAATTTAGTTAATTTTAATAATTTATTAACCTTTTTTATCATTTGTATCATACATCAATTTTTGTAATGTTAATTAATTACATATTTCTGCCAACATTACAAGGCTTCTGTTTATTGAATAGGCTAAATCTGGTCTTATCATGGAAGATGATGCACGTTATGTTGCAAAAACTTTGAAGAATCAAATAGCATCTTTGACTAGAGAAAGGGAAGAGCGCAAGCAGCATGATAAAGAAAGTGAACATGCAGCTGAAACATTGAACGAAACCGGTTTTGTTGGTATTCCAAAAGGAGAATCACAACAAACCCAGACATTCACTCAACAACAAGGACAGGTAATTATTATTTTCACAACAGTGTGCTTTTATTTATATGAAAGATGTTTGGATTGTTTGTCTTCCTTTGTTGTTGTTTCCCATTTCGAAAACTTGCGTTAGTCTTTAGAATGTGTACTGGATTAAAGTCATAGCTGTACATATTAAATTGTTTTTCTCATAAATAGATTTATGAGAATTTAGCTTTACTTTCTGAGTGAACTCTTGTACACAATTGAATCTCTGCCTTACTGTCGAATGTTTTAAAACATATTTAATTTATAGGATGCTGAAATGTTTGACGGGTAATTTTATGGGAGAGAAAAAACAAACCATTGCATGGTCTGTTCATCAGTGTTGAAACATTTTTATATTTTGCTTCATTATATGTTAAGGAAAGAAGATTCTGCATTTTTTATTGCTCCTTTCCATCTGTAAATCAATAGATGTTTGATGTTTTATTACAGTTGTGTGTCAATATTTTACATTGAAATACAGCATATAATTATGAAATAATACAAATTATTTCTGTTGTATTTCAGCATGATATGTTAAAGTGATATATTATTGATGTATTGTTGGTAGTACTGATGAATGCAGTTATTTCTTCAGTTGACTTCTCAATTATCCTATAGTCTCAAAATGAGCCTTCTGCCCACTCATTGCATGTATGTGATAAGAATGAAGTGTTAAAAGAATGTTTTGTATGTTATCATTACGCTTACAAAAAGCTGTGTTTATTTATGTTAGAATTTAATGATTTATTGCTACTATCACTGTCACTGTTATTGTTACTTTCACTACTAAAACACCCATAAAATGCTTTTTTGAGTCTCTCTTGACTTCATGCTATACCACATCCACTCCTTATAAAATTAAATTCCACTGTAATTACTGACAAGTTCCACAATAACTAACTTTGTAGTTGTTAGTGCTCTTGTGAGCAACATGTATATGCTACTCAAATGATAGTCATTTGCAGGCAGCGAATACAACTGATGCCGATTCGATGAAATGGATCTTTATATTGTACTTTGTTTTTTTAGTTGTATTTGTCATGCAAGAGAGTTTTACTTCAAACAGGCCATACATTTTATCCACAAAGATAGAATAAAGTTTTTTTAAAATAGGTTTATTGTTTTTCTAATTTAACTCATCTATGGATCTGTACACTGGTTTGTACGTCACAAAGAAAGGGTACATTCTTAACTTGTTATTTTGTTAATGCTGTAAGATTTAACTGGATCAGCTTCACAGTAATGTTATTCAAGTGGATTGAATACCTTCATGAAGTAGTAATAGGTTGGAAAAACTAGAATATTGAATAATTACAAAATAATTATTATTTTGCAAATTTTTAAGTTATTATTAATATGTGTTTTGTGCAATCAAAATTATTTGAAATTATTGTCTCTCTCTTTCGCTTTTCTCTCTCTCACTCTCTCTTTCGCTTTTCTCTCTCTCACTATCTCTTTCGCTTTTCTCTCTCTCTCTCTCTCTTTCGCTTTTCTCTCTCTCTCTCTCTCTCTTTCGCTTTTCTCTCTCTCTCTTTCGCTTTTCTCTCTCTCTCTTTCGCTTTTCTCTCTCTCTCTCTTTCGCTTTTCTCTCTCTCTCTCTTTCGCTTTTCTCTCTCTCTCTCTCTTTCACCCTTCCTCCCTCCCTCTCTCTTTCACTCTCCCTCCCTCCCTCTCTCTCTCTCACTCTCCCTCCCTCTCCCTCCCTCTCTCTCTTTCATTCTCTCAGAAATAGAATGTGTAGAAGTAATAATAGGCTAGGTATAATTATTAATGATAAACTTACTTTTAGTGTCCATTGTCAATATATGTTAAAGAAAATTGGGGATAAAACGAGTGTTTTAAATAGTATCGGAAATTATGTATCGGTATACACAAGGTGTATTATATACAAGTCGATAATAGCACCCCACTTTAAGTATTGTGCTACATTGCTAGTTCATAAGGGAGAAACAAAATTGTATAAGTTGCAAGTAGTACAAAATCAGGTTATGCGAGTAATATTGCAATGTAGTAGATACACTAAAATAGAATATATCTTACAAGCATTGCTATTTATGTCTATAAAACGAAAGTTACGCTATAATGTATGCATATTTATATTTAAGATCTTGTATGGTCTGGCGCCACATAACTTTAGAGATAGATGAAAAATAATTAGAAGTGAAGGTGAGAGACAAACTCGGCAAGAAGGAACTATTGCAATTAAATTTTTTAGAACTAGGAATGCACAAAAAAGCATGTACTATGAGGGTGTGAAATTATATAATGCATTGCCAGTGCCAGAAATTAGAAACTGTGAAAGAATTGTTACATTTAAGCAAATGTTAAAAAAGTATATTAATTGTATGTAAACTTATGTAGCACATAATAGCTGAGAAGGGTAAATAAATTCAGTGAATCAATCTTTCTTTCTTTCTTTCTTTCACTCTCTCTCTCTCACTCTCTCTCTCTCTCTCTCTCTCTCTCTCTCTCTCTTTCTTTGATTCACTTGCTTTTTCTTTCTCTCTTTATTTCTCTGTTTCTCTATTTCTCTCTCTTTGTTTCTCAGTTTCTCTCTTTCTCTCTCTTTATTTGTTTCTCTCACTTTCTTTCTCTTTCTTCCTCCATTTCTCTCTTTCTTTCTCTCTTTCTCCCTCTCTTTCTTCCTCTAACGCATTCTTGTGATCTTTAATGCTTTGATTGGTGAAAATAATTTTTCAGGAGTAGGCATCATTATTCATTGGATGCTAGTTGCAATTCAATTGAATAATTCATACAAATAATATAAGAAAGCATGTGCTGATGTAGCACCACTAATTCTATATTTTAGAGGGTAAATGGGCTTTTGATGCACATTTAATGCACATGCAGATAAGTGAATTTTATTTTATTTTTTCCAAATGGCTTTCAAGCACACCTCATTCTTGTGCGAAATGTAATCTTGAATTCTTACAAAAGGTTAGAGAGAGTAAAATAAAGAAGATTAAAAATAGAAAAACAGTTTGTTATAAATCTAAATTTCTTTCAGTAGTTTTCTTATAATTGGACCATCCACTGAATAAACAGCATATAGTCTGGAAAATTTGTTTGTTATATTTTTTGTTTTTCATTAAGTTCTTATTTTTCATGAATGCCCTTGAAAATTTCTTGATATTAAGCATCAAATTTTAGGATTGCATATATAATTAAATATTCATAAATTAGAAGGTGATTTGGCATGCAGTTGAAGATGCTGATTATAGTCCACTTTTATTTAGTTGTATTGAAAAAAATTGTCAATCAATTGTGTTAATGCATAAATGTATAGCCTACTTGAAGTTTTGTTTTATTTATTCCAGATAAATCTGATGATGATAATCTTTCATTGTCTCCTTTTTCAGAATTGAATTTGTTCTAAAAGAAGATTTTCCTGATGTTACTCGATGTTATTTTTTCCTTGTATTTCAGTTAGCAAGTTTACAGTATTGTTCAGTATAATTCTCATTTCTGTGAGGTATGAGTTTGCTGTTTCAGACCTCTTGGCTGTTACACACCAGGGTATGTCATAAATATACTTCTTTTCCAATTTTACTCTTTTTTTCTATCTTGCTTTCCTTCCTTTCTTTCGTTTCTTTCTTTTGTTTTTTCCCTGTCTTTGTTTCCAGTGTTTTGTCAAAAACATTCCTCCTTTTTTTTTCATTTTCACCAGACGTCCTGAAACAGTACATTTTCCTCTAATTTTTTTGTGTTTTTTTTCCATTTCCTCCTATCTTCTTTCTATATCTGTTGAATACCTAGTCTAGGCAATAATTGCATCTGAGTAATTTTATGAACAATGGCCCGCAATGTTTGTATGGCTCGTTCACCCATGACATGAAATAATTTAAGTTATAATAGTGAAATACTTGAAAATATTGTTGAACTATTAGTTATTTTGAGTTGTATATTTAAAATATAATTTTTTAATGGGCATTTTGTTTAGATCTATTGAATTATTATGGTTAGATACATTACCTCATGAAGATTTGGCCAATAGGCTTAAGAGCTGTAAACTATTATATTTTATCATTGAAGTGATGGCAATAGTAGGTGCACCAAGGTGGTAATGAATATTTGTGGTTTGGTCATAAAAAAAACAATACAAATTCCAGATTTTTATGCAATTATATTTAGAAAACTGTCCCTAAAAAGTAAGTTTTCAAGAGAACTGTTGTTATACATTTGTCTCTAATGAATAATTATGGCTATTGTTAATAAAATTAGTCTGAATAATTGCTATGATTATTATTATTATTATTATTATTATTATTATTTTTAAATATTGCCTATTTATAAAATTGTTGCTGTACAAAAATTTTTTAGTGACATTAAAAAAAAAATTGCTTATTGGTGTACAACCTTTTGCAAGGAGTTTGAATTTAATGAATACAAAATTCTAGAACAATTTAATTTCATAAATTACCATCAACTTTTACCCCAGAAGAGTTAGACATTTAAATTACTTAGAAGGACCATGATTTGTCATTTTTATGGCTACCACGTTTGAAGCAAACATTCTAATTTTTTGAGGTGAGAAATATCATGTTCAAATAATATACGATGATCACTCAAAGATAACTTTATATTACATAAAATAAAATTATTATATTGTACAAAAATATAATTAAAAAATATTATACTTTGGATTGCATTGACATGTGTGTTGAATTGATTCAGTCCATTGACCAAGAGCACTTACGCCTTCATTCTCAATCAGTATTATCTGTTATCTTCATCTCCTGGGCGAATGTGGAGAGGACTGTTCAATGGCAGGTTACGAAACATAAAATATGTTTCCTGATACACAATTAACAGAATACAAAATACTACTGAATGAACTGCTGTCATTTGCTCCTGAGCTTTCTAGGTAGACTGTATCATAAAAAGGTGTCTGCTTGTCAGAAATTATTGAAACTTCGATTTATTCTCTTGATCAGATAAGAGCGCAGACACTTCTTCCTAATGTTACAGAAGAAATTAATTGAAAATCTTGTAGCTGACAAAATG